TATTCAGCTGCATAGCCGGGGCCAGATTTTGCCTTTTTCCTGGGCGGAAAATTCTCGTCCTCCTTCACCAGTTTGGACAAAATATTATGGAGTAAGACGTTGTTAATCTAAGCAAATAAGTCTGGTAGAGTCAAGAACCTATGCAAGCGGCTGGACGAACAATGTGACAGCAGCTGAGACAGCGAACGTTAGAAGAATTCGAACCTGAAAACCAGGGCTGCCCTGTTGAAAACTTACGGACGGTCCCGCGATCGCCTTTTGTTTTCTGGTCAAAACTAACGCAGCGAACCTTCGGTCAGTGTCGATTGACCTAGAAGCAGTAGTAGCATCCCTCCCATAGCAAGTGCTGCGTTGTTGCGCGAACGCGGTCGCTAAGCTTGAATATTCACGTCGCGTATTAAACCTGGTCGTTTGCGGTCATATCGAAGCGTAAAGGTCAACAGTGGTTGTTGATGAGCGAGCAATTATTGTGCAGTTGCGATGGGTTTTGTGGAGCAAGCGAGCCAGAAGCAGGAGTACACGTTACCTGCAGATTAGCCGATGGTTATTTGGAGCGGATTCGTCGATTATTTTCGAATTTATAGCGCTTCGTGTGAAGGCACGTGGAGATGGTCTGTTTGTTTTGTAGCCAGCCTTTAATTCTTCTTTAGTGGATAGTACCTACAATTGCAAAACTCAACAAAATGCCACTTAAACCGGCCAGGAAAGACAAGGATACGTTCAGTTGAAGGTATCTTAGCTTTGTTTTGTTATATTTTGACTTTTAGACTATTTTAGTCCATGGGAGTTTCGACGACTCATCGCATTAGTTTGTCCATGTGAATATTAATATATTCATTCAGTGACACATACTACGTCTGGGCCGCCTGTGGTTAGTCTCCAAAACTATTCACTACTTCACGAAACACAATCTTGAGCCTGTCTGGCATATTAATTTGCATGTCCATGTTTAGTGAAATGACAGAATTGTTATGTTCGCCCCAAATTTGTGGACTGTCAACGTCTGCAAGATCGAAACAACAATTAGTTTCAAAAACAAGAACCTCATAAAAATTAATAATTAATTACGTGCAGGGTTATCATCGCTTGTATATAATATCAACAGACAGGTAAAGTTTTCCCGGGGAAATTCGACAACATGCAAATTAGTTAAATTTGAAGAAAGCTTACGGGAAGGGATTTTGACCTACCAAATGACAAAATAGGCCGATGAACTATGGCCACTTATCTGAAAAAGTAATGTTTTTCTCTTAGTGATAGTAAAGAAGCCAATAAACGCCTGCAACAAGTCGCAAATCAAGCGTGAAATTTTCCCGGAAAAACTACAACTATGCAAATTAGGAAATTAGGTTAAAGTTGTGAGAAAACTCACGAGACGAGATTTTAACTTGCCAAATAAGAGTTTGCGTATTTGTAAAGACTTTATGACAGACTAATAAAAAATAGTTTTGATCTGGATATAAACTGCCGCAGTTTAGAGAAAACCAGATTGGAAAATTGCCAAAATTCTTCTTACTTGCGATAGCCACGAAGTGATGATATTTGGAACCGCTCCAAAGTAAGTTATTTTTAACCAAATTCGTTTATATTGGAGACATGAGCTGGTTATAGGCTGGAAAGTATGTACAGTTCGTATAAATGAATAAGGCTAATGCCAAGTAAATAAAATGTGTCGTGGAAGTTTACCCAAATTTTCCGTCTCACGTGGGCAAAATAGCACCAAAAACTAGGGGGGTGGTCAAAATTCTAAGAAATTAATTTTATTTTACTAAAAATACCACCGATCGTAATCTTAGCTGATAGAGAAAAAATGCTGAAAATTTGGAGGTAATCGGCCGACCTCGATCCGCGGACCCTGCCTGGTCCTTAGTGACAGTGACACTTAATTTTATTAAGCGCAAGAAAAGCCGAGGGGAAAAAAGGAAAAACTGGGAAAACAAAGTGGTGTATTATGAAATATTTCTATATTTATTCTATTCTTTGAAATGACAACATCGAATAACACAACGCACCTCTTTTTCGGCCGAGGCTGATAAAATAAAACAGAGATAGTGTTATTAAAAAAAGTAATGATCATGCACAGCGTTAAAAAAAAAATAATAATAATAATGGCTGTTGGAATAGAAGAGCAGCATACATATTGTAGAAAGAATAACTGAATGTTAGCTTAGTGACCACAAAATTAAGCTGACAAAAATTTTACGACAACAACAGTATTAATTACAATCCTTGGAAGCTGTGGTCGAAGAAAAAAGCGCAGAAACTAACGCGTTTTTAGATAGGCTTTTCTCAGAAATTAGCCAAAGTTTTTTTTCCCGTAGGCTTTGGCATGTCTTACAAACATCATTTCCTTTGCGGTGCGATTACATTTTAGTCTCAAGAATTCATCATTAACTCAAGGTTTCCAAGTCACGTCAACGGACACGTTTTCAGCAGCTCTTGCTTTAATTTGTTCTCATTAATCTGCTTGGGTTTTGGTTGCTGTTTCTTTAGAAATAAATATATTTTACCAGTGCCAGAGTAGTAGACGCAAAAGTCAAGATGATGCCACTCCTCATATGAAAGCCTGCAGAGTTTGCAGACTTACACTTGTCTCCGGTGCAGCAGTGTAAGCACATATAATGCTCGATGCCTCCGAACGTTTTCTTCTCGTCGTAACACTTGTTATCACAGCTGCGTCGCGTAAAAACCATATCAGAAGTGCAGCCCTTTAATTTCTTATGAACGGTTTCTCGTCCCAGCTGTCTTCGCGTAAGAGCATCGTAAAGCATTTTCTGTTACAGGATTTGGTGCTCGGGTTGCTCGCGTAGCAGTCGCTGCTAGAACAAGCAACGCACTGCTGGGCAGCTTCCACTGAAGAGGGGCTCATCGCATAGAATGCCACACTTAAAACAAAGAACACAGTAAAGAGTCTTCATGGCTTCGAGTGCTTGTGGATCGAGCTCCCTGACCTACTTTCTTGTTGTCAGTCGGGTGTAATGTGCCTTCTGCACCAGGTAGTGTGATTTATTTATGCACTGATGTACCAATTGTGCAATTCTGTAAAATGAAAATATTGGACTCTCCACTAGAGTCAAGTTTTAGAGTCCGCCTAAGAAACCGTAGCTCCCAACACGGTCGTTTCCAAAAAAGGTAAAAAAAAAGTCACAGGCTTTTAATGTTGTTATTAAGATTTCTGTTTATTTGTTCGCCTGATTTGTGTTACTATCCACCCTGACCATCTCTAATAAAAACAAAAAATAGGTGTTTTTCGAAACAAGAACTCGAAAAAACTCATTAACTTTAGTAAAAGAAACAGTGCGAAAAACTGTACTTCTTGATTTCGAAACACCGGAAAATATGGCACGATATGAGGTTCATATATCACTGAAAAAGCACGAAAAACTTTTTAGTCGATTATGCTGTCACATGTGTGGGTCAGTCCGCGGCCCTGAAATCATGCGAATTGAGCTTTAACAATATTTGCCTCTTTTTAGCTAAGTTATCCTCGATCCCGAAAAATTGGTCCCCCTCAAAAGTTCTTTATTCATCAATTCTTTTCCATGCGGTTGGCCCCTATGGTTTTTAACCTTAGTAACTTTTTTAACCTTTGCTGAAACAGGTCACGTCCGGCGAAAGTTATCCGGAGATCTCATATCATCGGTTTACTGTCCTAGAAACTGTCACAACCCGTCACACGCGACCTTGTAACGAGTGGTCATTGTAATATTTCCATCTGAAAATTGTCTCAGACCATAGCTGCTGTCAATTCCCTCATTTTTTTCTAACAACGATATACCACTTTTTGTTGATAAGCGCGTACGATTTATTTCTTACTCAGAGAGTTGTGTTTATAGAATCAAGCGCAAACTTGATCAGTGATGCTTCACGTTTCGAGATCTTTCAATACTTTTTCACCCGGGAAAAATTATGTTATAGGTATATTAAATAGGATTGCGTCTTGTCTTAATAGTTTGAAAGGCGATTATCCCTCATTGCCTTGCATTGAGTAATTTCCAATAGTGCAATTCCTGGTACCCACAAGTCTTTCTCTCTTTAGCAAAGGACTGGCAAAAAATATTTGAGCAATAAACATACGTTATTTTTAAAACTAAATACATCAGATTTTCCAAAAAAATCTGGAAGCTGAAAATGTTTCCTTTTTTTTCATTCATGAGAACAGAAAATAAAAACCTTCTGATACAGCTCTTTTGCACGAGTAAAAATCTCTCTAGAGCTTTCTAGAAACATTTAACTAACTATTAGGGCGGCTGCATAGGTCCTTATGAATAGTCTCGTCGCCCCTTTGGATCGATTCTCCTTTCTTCTTTTAATTCATTCTCATTTTTTGATGGTTTTCTTTGACGGTTTCCTTTCTACGTAATTACGTATACGGTAATGAAACTCAATAAAGTTGTTTGAAAAAAAAAGGGTGCACAGATCACGGTATTGACCGATGATTGAAAATGACAACGAAAACAAGCTCGCTAAAAAAAAAATTGACCAGTGGTTAAAAACACATTTAGATTTATTCGGTAGAATTTGAGATTTAATATCGAACTGAATGAAATATATGTATTTTTTACAAGAACGTTGATATTGTAAAGAAGTCTCAAATCTCTAAAGAAAACTCAATGAAAGCAGCGTGGCTAGAAAAGGTTACAAAAACTAGACATCAGTAATAGATATCATTTACAATCCTTCCTGTCCTTTGTCGTCCTTTTCGTCCTCTTGTAAAAAAAGGAGTGGGGAAACCGACGCCTTTAAGCGATGGCCACTTTTAGAAAGCAGCAAAAACTTTTTCGGTATTCTTTTGCCTAATCCTAAAATACTATCTTAAAAAGTCAGGTCATCGCCTTTGCGGTGGTAATATTACGATTTTATTCACAAGAGTTAATATACCGTTCACGCAAATGAAGTTTGCAAGTCACATCAACATTAAGCAACAATGCAGCTCTGTCATCTTTTAGGCAGTTCTTCCTTAAATCTCCTTTTTTAGTTGATTCTTGCTTCATTCAGAACTAAAGATATTTCACCAGTGCCAGAGCAGTGGACGCAAACGTCAAGATGATGCCACTCTTCATCTGAAAGCCCGCAGAGCCTGAAGAGTCTGAGTTACAGTTGTCTCCTGTGCAGCAATGGACGCACATGTAGCACAGGTAGCCCAAGCTCACTATGAGAGCCCTGAACAACATTATCCTACTTTGCTTATAAATTATTCATACAGTAAGAAAATTATAAGACATTGTATGGAGAAATATTCTTTGCTCACTAAATTAGCAAAATGTACATTGAACATCGCTTTGAAGCTTACCTTTAGCGTCTTGTTGTTTTTCTTTGTATTCTGACTGCATTTCAGACCTCCTAGGCACTGTTTAAGGCCTTTTTTGGAGCGACAGTTTTTCACCCAGATGACAGTAGAGAGAAGAGATTCTAAAAAAAAATAAATAAATTTTCTTGCTGTATGAATAACTAATTAGCAAAGTAGGATAATGTTGTTCAGGGCTCTCATAGTGAGCTTGGGCTACCTGTGCATGTAGTAGTTTGTGCCTCCAAACTTTTTCTTCTCGTCGTAACACTCGTTGTCACACCGGCGTCGCGAAAATACTTGATCAGAAGTACAGCCTTTGATTACGAAAGATTTCTGGTCTTGGCTTTTCCCCCGTAAGAACACCGTGAAGCATTTTCTCTGGCAGGATTTGGTGCTGGGGTTGCTCGCATAGCAGCCACTGCTCGAACAAGTCACGCACTGTTGGGCAGCTTCCACTGAAAACGGGGTCATGGCATAGAATGCCATAAACACGATGCACACAAAAAATAGACCCTTCATGGCTTCGCGATTCGAGTGAATGTGGAGTGAGATTTCTTTGCTGCTTGCTGCCTCGTTGGGTGCGATATGCCTACTGCTTTGTGGGGCTATGATTTATGTAGACAGCGTGAGAGCTTGCTCGCAGGCTACAGCGATGGTTAAATTTCGCAATTTTGGAAAATTCCGATTGCCCATTTTGACGTAACACCCACTAGTCATTATGCAATGATGCGTGATGCGGCTGGACACGATATTTTGTGGTCCGCGTTTACGTTATTTTTCCTCCTTTACGGACAACTGTTCTGCGCGATAGAACAGTCTAGAATACGTCTAAATGGGGGATCTTATCGCTGGAGTGGTTTTGGTTGCGAGAAATTGACGTACGTAAGGGAATTTCAAGATTATTCATCCTTGGGTTCGCTGGTTTGCCGAAACGAAATTTTAGCTGATCATTTGCATGGTCATTTGCATGCTGATTGCGATCTATTGTATTGGCTGCCCTGGAATTCTAACAATGGTTTTCTTGGACGCTTCATTGCGTTGCTGAGCTCCCCAAACACTCGTCGCGGTTCGCTAAAGATCAAGTTTAGGCGACACAAGAGACCGTGTGCTTACTATGCGAACTCAAATGCGACTTTCCATCTTATTTTAGATGTAGGCGACTTGGTGTTCAAACTGAATCCAGGCCCTAATAATAGGATCACAACAATTGTTTCTTCAAATAGAATGGTCAAGAATGGTCACCCCTGGAGCAGTCATTCTCTTCCAAAGGGAGCTAATTTGCATAATCTTCGTTCTTTGGATCGCATCAGTGTTGCTCCTAAATTTTCGTTCAACAGGGAATTCACCTCGTGCCTTATGAATGCTCGCTCGCTATGCAACAAAACTCTTATTGTTAAAGACTTTGTTGTGGATTACAAGGTGGATTTGTTGGGGATTACAGAAACATGGCTGCATGTGGAAGGTAGTGAAGTGACTATTGGAGACCTTTGTCCGAATGGTTATCGTCTCCTGCACTCCCCACGGTCGGCAGGGCGAGGCGGAGGCGTGGGCCTTCTTTACAAGCAAGGTATTGGCTCTAAAATAAGGATATTTGAGCATTCTTTTACATCGTTTGAATGCATTGATGTCACTTTTGTTGCTCGTAAGAGTTTGAGAGCAATCGTTGTCTACCTTCCCCCGGGGGGTGCGTTAGTTGGAGTCTTTCTGGAGGAATTTTCTAGTCTATTGCAAGAGACTGTAATATGCCCAGAAGAGCTTTTGATATACGGGGATTTTAACTTCCATATGGACGACAAGGCTGATTGGGACGCGACACGATTTGGAGAGTTACTGGATTTGTTCAATTTAAAGCAACATGTGTGTGTACCCACCCATAAACGAGGTCATATATTGGACTTGGTCATTACAAGGAATGAGACTGAGGGTGCCTTAGGCCTAAAGAATGTTACAGTCATGGAACAGTTTATCTCGAATCACAAGGCTGTTTGCTTTAATTTGAATTTACGGAAACCATTAAATGAAAGGAGGACTGTTGTCTCTCGTAAATTAAAGGGATTTGATTTTGATGCTTTCAATGAGATGATTGGATCGTCTGGTTTGTCAGACGGGTGTATCTTGCAAAGTATTGAGTCATTGGCGAAGGAGTATGATGAGGTGTTATGCAAGGCTTTGGACAAGTTGGCACCTAAAAGAACTCGCACTATTGTCATTCGACCTAATGCTCCTTGGTATAATGAGGAGATCGCTACTCAGAAGAGGAAAAGGCGAAGGCTTGAACGTAAATGGCGTTCGACTGGTCTTGAAACTGACAGGGTAAATTATATGGAACAGTGCAATGTTGTGAATGATATGCTCTACAAGGCGAAAGAACAGCATTATTCAGCAGTTATTCAGGAAAATGCCCACGATAGTAAATTACTTTTTCGCACAGTTGATAAATTACTGCAAAGGAGTATAGACAAAAGATATCCGTCTGCGAACAGTGACCAAGAACTCGCAGATGCCTTTGCTGATTTCTTTAGTGCCAAGATTGTGCGAATTCGTGATGAGTTGCTGGTTAGAAAAGAGCAGCTGGGGGAGCGCCCCATGGAGGATTCTGAGTGTACGTCATGCTTTAGCGAGTTCACAATGGTAACAGATGAAGACGTCTTAGGGTTGATTAGGGGTTCAACTATTAAGGCATGCGCACTGGATCCACTTCCAGCGAGTATCATGCGGAAATGCTATTCTAGTCTTGTCCCTATATTTAGAAGGGTCATTAATTTGTCATTGTCATCTGGATTGCTGCCCAAGGAACTTAAGGTGGCGCTGCTATCACCTATTCTTAAGAAATTAAATGCAGACTTTGAGCAGTTTAGTAATTTTCGCCCTGTATCAAATTTAAAGTTCCTGTCTAAATTGATAGAGAAAGCAGTGTTTGTGCAATTGAATAGCTATCTTGGCGAAAATGATCTACATGAGCCTCTTCAATCTGCGTACAAGATTTTTCACAGCACCGAGACTGCACTTCTCACAGTTACAAATGACATTATGCTGTCATTGGATAAGGGTGAGAATGTTTTCCTCGTTTTATTGGATCTGTCGGCAGCATTTGATACCGTTAACCATTCCTTGCTGCTGGCACGACTGCAGAAATCATTTGGTATCAGAGGAACTGTACTGCAATGGTTCGATTCTTATCTTTCTCAAAGAACTCAGTTTGTAAACATCAATGAGGCGAATTCTACGGTACGAGATCTTCCCGTGGGTGTTCCCCAAGGTTCAGTTCTTGGACCTGTTCTCTACCTTCTGTATACTGCGCCACTTGCTAAAGTGATAAGATCTTATGGCTTAGATTATCATCTATTCGCCGACGATACTCAGTTATACTTTGCATTCAAATCGGTGGATGTGGACGCTGCTAAATCGAGGGTCGAGAACTGCGTTTCTGCAATATGTCGCTGGATGGATCTCAACGAATTGAAGCTAAACCACGACAAGACGGAGGTCATGCTTATCCACTCAAAGCATCGTCCCTCTCCATCCTTTCAGTCCTTATGTGTTGGTGACGAGAGCGTGGCTGCCTCTCAGTCGGCTAGGAGTCTTGGTGTTATCTTTGATGAGCACATGTCTTTTCATGCACATGTGTCTAGCATCTGTAGATCATCATTTTATCATCTCAGGAACCTATCTAGAATTAGGAAGTATTTCACTAAAGAATCAGCAGAAGTTGCTGTTCATGCATTTGTCACATCGAAACTAGATTACTGTAATCCATTATTATACGGCCTACCTAAGTATCAGTTACAAAGATTGCAGTATGTACAAAACACGGCGGCTAGAGTTGTGTTGCAAGTGAGTAAGTTTCAGCATATCACACCTGTTTTGTGTGCGCTTCACTGGCTACCGATTCAATATCGTATTATTTTCAAGATTCTGCTCGTCGTGTATAAATCACTGAATGGGACATCGCCTAGCTATTTAGCTCAAAAACTACATTATCGTCCTCATTCTAGATCATTGAGGTCTGTTAGTAATGAACTTTTAATGCAACCTAGATCGTATACCAAGACCTACGGAGATAGAGCATTCGCTGTTCATGCACCAAGAGAATGGAACTTAATACCCTATGAAATTCGGAAGTCCAACACCATCTCGAGTTTTAAAAGATCACTTAAGACGTACTTGTTTACTAAATTCTGTGATAACGGATCATTGTTTTTATAAATTTGTATATATTGCGTTAGTTTTAATTTTTTCCCTTTTTTTATCATTATGAATATGGTTTAATAGTTGTTTTAGTTTCAATTTTTCCTTTTTTATCCATTGTAAATATATTAGGATATGGTCGTAAATTTGTAAATATTTTTCAATAATGTTGTTTACATGATTGTAAAGCGTCTTGAACATAGGATAAGAGCGCTATAGAAATAAAGTTATTATTATTAGTCACGTTTTAGACACCCACCCAAGAAGCTGTAGCCAACACGCAACCTTCGACACAGGCATCGCCAAAAAAGATCAACAAAAAAAAACTCAAAGGCCATTAGACGGGCAGGTAATGTATCAATTAACTGTGGCAAAAGGAAAATAGAATGTTGGACCGTCGAAATGTCTTAAGTGTTTGTTCATCTACTTCACGTCATGTACAAGATGAAATATATGCATAGCGCTGAAAACAGACTTTTGGATTTCGAAACACCGGAAAAGATGGCATTATTTCAGGCGCATTTATATCATAGGAAAAAGCACGAAGCATTTATTTACGCGACTGTGTCATCACATTTTTCAAGGTTCACGGCCCTGAATTGAGCCTTAACGCTCTGAAAAGCGGTGACCCACGTTTCCAAAAAATCTCCGCGCAATAATAAAATCGGAAAAATGAATAGTAAAGGTCAGCATTTTTTCAAAAATAAAAATTCTTTTATGCTCTCAGTCCACGTAGACGGCTTCATATTTTAAAATGTCTTATACACTCTGGCGCCTGATGAGTCAATAAAAATGAGAAGTAAAATGTAAAAAGCTAAGATAACGGGGGGTGACAACTGTAACAAAGGCTGTTTGGGCAGTCCTATGAATAACTTTATGTCCTCCCGGAAATTTCGTCGACCCTCCCGAATTTTTCGGTGGCATTCCCCATAAATGTTTAACTTCCCAAAATTGTTTTAACAATTAAAATTAACATTTTGATTAGAGATTTTTTTGCATCTTCTTGTTAATTATGTAACTTGTTAATTATCTAACCTTAGCTATTTTTTCGTTTGGAGAGTGTCATGTTAACACAGAAAGACTGTCAAACTTTTTAAGCATATAAAATCATGTTTTTTTGTTTTTTAATCACCGATAAATCAGGCGAGCAGTGAACGGGGCAACCCCTCTAGGGAGGTCTGGGGGCATGCTCCCCCAGAAAATTTTGAAATCTTGGTGCTCTGAAACGCCATTTCTAGTGTTCTGAGAGGACAAATTCTGTCCAAAATGTTCTCTAAATCGATTGTCCTTTTTATGCTTATTTTTATTGGCGTGACTTCGCGTAGAAGTAGTCAATTTAATTTTATACAAGTTGTGCGGTTTCTGAAATTGCTCTGGATATCACTTTCAGCTAAGTATACTCTGTGTGGTGTCATTGTATGAGTATCATAAGAATTCATTTGAAAATTTCAGAACAACTGTCGAAATCTGAAATTTTCCTATCCCGAACGCATATTGATCGGGATTCGGGATTTTCGAGCCAAATCGGAAGGATCCCGACGAGATCAGGATGATTAGAGTCTTCACAGACATACTACTTTTTTTGGCCTCATTTGTGTTTAACAAGGTTAAATGAGTTTCGTTTTTTTCTTACATGCTTCTTATGTACTTCTTTCAAGTTTTCCAGTATGCAATCAGTGGAATGTGCTCTTAAAACTTGTTAACGTGCAGCGTAAAAATACCCCTGAACTAATGAATGATGGGATCTGGTGTGAACTGATAGTATGTGCCTTGCACCGGTACGGTTATTGTGTCAATCCGCTGGGGATTGCACGTGGTCAATCGCCCTCGAACTTCTGCTATTTTAGTTGGAAACGTTGCTGATTGGTCTTTTCATATCATGGGGAGTTCAGCCGTTTTCAAGTGTCAAAATACATAGAATACAGCGCATACACTGGGTGCATATCACTGTATATATATTGTTTGATAACATGTAATATCAAATCTTTGCTCAATGTCCCGAAAATATCTCATATTTCCCGAAAAATTTCCCAGGTTTCCCGATTCCCGGCAAAATCTCCAGATTCCCGGAATAAATTTGTTTTCTCCCGAAACAGCCCTTGTTAGAGCTGTCACCCCCCATTAAGATGAGCATAGCTGACTATACAAACGTTACATTTTGACGTCCTCTGAGATCTATTACTGAACAGACCCACGGCAACATGAAATCTATGTGTTTTTACACAATGATCAGAAAAGAAAAATGATCGATATTTAAACGTACCTGCCTCGTAGTGTACCAGGCTCAAGATTTCTTAGGTGTTTCTTAAAAACAGATAAATCAACACGTTTTGTGATTCACGTTTGCTACGCAATCAGTGAATAAGAATTGAAAAATATTATTAATTCACTTTGTTTTAAATCAATCGTTGGTCAACAAAAAAAGTGGACCTGTGGGACGTGTTGGGGGCTTAGTGGTGCGAGCACGCCCGTCGTATCCCCCCTCCCTGTTAGTCGTTATTTTCAAGGGTTGATTTAGGTGTTAAAAACAAAACAAAACAAAAAAAACTGACCCTTCAAGAAACAAGACGTGTTTTATTCGAAAATTCTCTAATAAAAAACAACTAAACTTGGCCAAAGCGCTACCCATAATATAAGGTATTCATACTTAAAACAATTCTTCTCTCGACAAAAAGCGAAAGTATTCCATGGCAACGTCACTTTGCTAGGGACGCTCCATTATTCAAAAACCTAACTGCATATCAAACCTCAATCTACTGCTAGTTTGCAAGTAACCGGGTGACGTACAAACATACATATGCTGGTCGACTGCAGAAGCAAATTTTTTAAGTGGGAACTTTATAAAGAGAGCACCCAAGCAAGCGACGAGCAAAGTAGTAAGTACCGGAAACGGGCTTTGAGAAAGTCAACAAAGAGGTAAGAACGTTTTGAGGCTCGAGATATTTTGAACGAATTATAAAACAATTATAGGTTTCGGTTTTTGCAAAGAATTATACGGACCTCAGAATATCAAAATATCTGCGGTACGAAGTTTAGCAGATATTTGTTTTCTGCACGTTCTGAATTTGGTATTTTCATTGTGTTTTTCAATGAAGTGTTCAGTAGTTACGTAATACGTGTTAATTGCGTTTCATATATAAGTTGTTGTCAGTCAGTATGTTATTCCTTCGAGTCTGCAACGCCACACGCTACAACACTGTTCTTTTCAAGATGAGTGACGCGGAGGACAGCAATGTTCGTTCTCGTCCGAACCCTGAAGTCGTAGATCCTTCTATTGGCGCTGCTATACAGGCTGCCGTTACTCGTTCTATAGGTTCTTTAACTGACAACTTTACACAGGTCATTGAATCTCGGCTTACCGATTTTGCCAAGCGTTTTTCAGAGGAAACCAGTTCGTCCGTTGAGCAAGCTGTTAAGAAGACGCGTCGCGAGCAATACACGTGCAAGAGAAAGGGTAGCCAGCAGCAGTTAGACCATTCCCTCCAGGTGCTGGACAAGCTAGACGAAGCTTCCGACGCACTGAAGCACAAATCTTATGAAAAAGCTAAGGCTGCTTTGGAGTCAGGTACGGAATTAGTGTCCAAGCGTGTTAAAGCAATAAACCTAGCCGACAAGAGCGAGTTTGGATGGGCGACGGTCAATGAGTATCTATCCGACGAACTCGCCTCTGACTCAGATGATGAGAAGAGAATTTACCGGGCCGAGAGGAGAGCTGAGAGAAAGGTCACTAAGGAAAAACGTCGTCGTGCCCGTTCTGGCGACAGAGGCAGTGGCTCCGCCTCTACTTCTCGGGCGACTTCGTCAAGATACGCATCCAGCGATTTGGTTTTACGCCCTGAGGCTAGACCAGCGCGTCGTTTGGGCCCCTGTTTTAAGATAAGTACCCAGCACTTTTTCGCTTTACTATCTTTGTTTCTTTCTTCGTCGATTATGGCGTTACCTCACAGGCCATAATCCAATATTCTCAGTGATTTGCTGCATTTGAGTTTATATTTATATAGGTTAGTGCAGAATATCAAAATATCTGCGGTACAAAGTTTAGCAGATATTTGTTTTCTGCACGTTCTGAATTTGGTATTTTCATTGTGTTTTTCAATGAAGTGTTCAGTAGTTACGTAATACGTGTTAATTGCGTTTCATATATAAGTTGTTGTCAGTCAGTATGTTCTTCCTTCGGGACTGCAACGCCACACGCTACAACACTGTTCTTTTATTTCTATGTTATGGATTTTATTTTCATATTTTTCTGTATGTGTTCCCCTTTTTTCAGTGCGGGGATTTTGGTCATTTGAGTTCCACGTGCTTGAAGCCTGCGGATTCTTCGAAGAGCAGCTCTCGACGCGATTGACTAGATGGCGACTCGTCGACCTGTGATGAAGTTGAGTGTGACTTAATTCATTTATTGTCTTGTTGTGGCGACGAGTTTAGTGCGAAAGGCGGAAGCAGTGGCGTGAAAGGTCGCTTGCAATCTTCGTTTAACTTTTGGGTCGAGACTTAAGATGCACCAGATTTTGTCCTTGATATGATTAGGCGCGGTTATAGATTGCCGTTTGCCAAGTACCCCTCGCAGTGCTTTTTGAAGAACAATAGATCAGCTCTTCAGCATATGGAATTTGTCGCTGATGCTATTAGCGAGCTTTTAAGTAACGGCTGCATTGTTGAGCACGAATTCCCCCTGTATTGTGTTAATCCTTTGACAGTCGCTGTTGGGAAGAAGCTTCGCCTGGTTATCGATCTGAGACACGTAAACAATTATTTAGTAAAACCTATATTCAAGTACGAGGACTTACGATCGCTTTCTCAAGTTCTCGATGAGGGACACTGGTCTTTCTCTTGGGTTACCACCATGTCGATATTTGTCTCGACCACCAAAAGTACCTTGGTTTCGCGTGGCCCTTTTCTAGCGTCGTCAGATATTTTTCCTTTACAGTACTGCCTTTCGAGTCTCCAGTAGCTCAAGTGGTTAGAGCATCCGACTAGATCACGGAGGGTCGTGGGTTCAAATCCCACCTGGGACTCGGATTTTTTTTTCCGAGTCCTCCTCAAATTAATATATCATGTTGTTGTTGTTTCATCTTTGATATATTCACTTTGGAGGTTGGTTGGCCGCATCTTGGATATGCTTTAAGGTGACAGCGCGATGCTGTTAGTGAGTTCTTCACTTCTTGTGTGCCAGTCATTGCTTGGCTGTGTAGCCGCGTGATGCGGTTCCAGTCGAGACCCACAAATTGGCCTTTGCTCACCACAGAGTCTCCAGTAGCTCAAGTGGTTAGAGCATCCGACTAGATCACGGAGCGTCGTGGGTTCAAATCCCACCTGGGACTCGGATTTTTTTTTCCGAGTCCTCCTCAAATTAATATATCACGCTTTTGTTTTACCAAGTTAATGCGCCCGTTAGTTAGGCGTTGGCGTTCTATGGGACACAACAGTTTCATTTATTTGGACGATGGTTTCGGGAGTCGACCAGACAAATGTTCTGCCGTGGCAGCTAGCTTAATTCAACGTAAAGAGCTCTGTTCATCTGGTCTTCTTTGTAACGAGGAAAAGTCTCACTGGGATCCAGTTCAAATTGGCGAATGGCTAGGCTTCGTTATTGATACTATTTTAATGTGTTTCCGGATTCCCGAGAAGAAAGTTCTCAAGCTTAAAGGCTTGCTAGATTCTGCGATTCAGGATGGATTCTCTTCATTTCGCGAGTTAACGAGAATAGCAGGCACTATCATTTCAGCTGCGTTAGCTGTTGGTCCAATTTCTCGTCTTTTGACCAGACAAATAATGTACTTCGCCGTTGAAACCATATCGGCTTGGGATGACATAATTCATTTTCCTCCGAGCCTTTTACAAGAACTGAAATTTTGGTATTGCAACATCGACTGCTTAAACGGCTATTCTATTAGGCCACCGTTAGCCACGCATACCGTTGTATTTTCCGATGCTAGCGACGTAGCGTTCGGAGGATTTTCGGCTACTTTAGACGGCTCCGTCGTTAGCGGCATGTGGGAGTGTGAGGATATCGGCCAAAGCTCTACGTTCCGCGAGCTGAAAGCAATTTGTTACGTGTTGCTTTCTTACGTGGCTCAACTGAAACACAAGAGAGTTAAAATCTTCACTGATAATCAGGCCGCCGCCAGAATAGTTGCTATCGGAAGCTCCAAATCTCACCTCCAGGCCCTGGCTATGGATATTTTCCATCTTTGTCTTGCCAACAGCATCGTTCTCGAAGCCCAGTGGATCCTTAGGTCTCTTAATGAAAGAGCAGATCTTCTTAGCAGATTTATTGATAAAGACGACTGGTCCATCAATCCCTCGGTATTTCGACTTGTCGACGCTAAATGGGGCCCTCACACAATTTTCGTCCTATTACAATGCCCAGCTTCCGAGGTTCAACTATAAATTTGCTTCCCCAGGTTGCAGCGGTGTGGACGCCTTGGCTCAGGATTGGCGACATGAGAATAACTGGGTTTGCCCTCCGGTGGGTGCCATTGTGCCTGCAGTTAGTGCTCTCTCGTCCTGCTCCGGTTACGGCACTTTGATCGTTCCACAATGGCCTTCGGCCTATTTTTGGCCTCCCAGTTCAAGTCTTTTGTTAAAGAAGTGTTTGAGCTTCCTTGTATTGAAGACCTCTTACTGGAGGGTCCAGGACAGAAGCAGATTTACAAAGCGCGTCCGTCGGTGTTCAGCGGCTGCCCGAAATTTAAAATGTTAGCTTTGCGGATAGATTTTAGGTGAGCTTTCCCATTTTTGTCTCCCCTAGCTTACAGCTCATTTTTGTCGGTGTTTTTTAGGTTTATCTTTGGCAGCGTATTTTTGCATGATTTGGCGGTGTATTTTTTGCCTGGTTTGGCAGCGTCTTCTTGGCTCTGAGTTCGATGCATGTCCGCTTCACCACGTAGTTTGCCTGTTTTGGCGCCGTCAGTTGGCCTTATTTTATGTTTTATTTTATTGGTCTACATTTGTTTTATTGAATGTTTGCTATTTTGTTGAATTTTTTACTGTTTTTTACAGCATTACCGGGCCCAGCCAGTTCGGCTTCCGTTTGTCGTTGTTTCTCATTACATGTCGTTTTTACGCTGTAGTACTGTCCGTGTTGCATGATTATGATGCAGCATCATATTTTCTACTGTATTACAATTTTAAATGTTTTGCCTTTTCCTGCTTACTTTTATTTTATTTTTTAGATGTTCTCCAATCCGGGATTTGGAGTGAAGCGAATTTTTTGGCCGATCCATCCTTGCCCAAGCTTGTTCCAGACCTTCTCCATTTACAGTTTGAGTCCAAAGCTGCCTCTACCGTGCAGAAGTATAGATCTGGCTGGATCAGATGGCGTGAATGGGCAGATTCTAAGATTGGCGTTTCAGATATTCCAGCGAAGCCACTGAACATTGCTCTCTTTATCAGCAAACTTACTGCTGTCTCTATTTCTAATAATACGGGGATATCCCCTATCGAGTCAGTTGTTTATGGTATTAAGTGGGGTCATAGTCTGGCCGGTATTGTAGAATGCCCTACTGGTCACCCCCTTGTTAAGTCGTCCTCGGAGGGTGCAAGAAGGAAGCTTGCTCGTCCTGTTCAACCCAAAGAGCCTTTATGCGTTGACACAGTTTTAAGGATCGCTGAATATTATATTTCTAGTAGTTCGCTTGCCGTTATTCGTTTTCTTTTCGTCCTCTTGGTTGGCTTTGCTGGGTTTTTTCGTGTGGACGAAATTCGCAATTTGACAGTTAGAGATGTCTCTATTTTCAACGAGTACATGTCAATTTTTATTCCTAAACGCAAAAATGATCAGTATAGAGAAGGGCATACGTCCTTTCTAGCTAGGTCTCATAAGGCTACTTGCCCAGTTTCTATCACCGAAAGGTTACTTAAGCTTTTCCCTTCAACTTGTGAGTCATCTTCGCCCCTCGTTAGGCGAATCGTTAAAACTAAGTCTAGGGAGTGTTTTCATGCTTCTAGAGGAGTTTCATATTCAACGCTAAGAGATGAATTTAAGAAATTTGTTAAACCATTTGTATGTGACATTGCTCTTTACGGCACGCACAGTATAAAGTCTGGTGCCGCCTCAAATCCTGCTTGTCGGAGTGTTTCCGCTGATCTGCTAGCCAAGATGCATGCTGGCTGGAAATGTACCACTTCAAAGAACAGATACATTAAGCACACGGTTAGTGATCGCTTAAAAGTTGCTGAAACTATTGCTTTTTAGTTTTCGTTTGTTTATTACTATTATTTAGTTTATTTAGTAGTCTTGGCGGGGGACTTAAGTCGTGCCTGGCCCGCCCCAGATTTCCTATCCCTTTTTCCCCACGGGGTTTTTTAGGTTAGGTTTTTTGTGGCCCCCCTGGCACGGGCTACTCTATATTAATTTTTCATTTCTATTTTGTACCAGTTGTTTGCATTTTCTTTAATAAAGTGGCGTTATGGCGTTACCCCACAGGCCATAATCCAATATTCTCAGTGATTTGCTGCATTTGTGTTTATATTTATTCCTCGCGAAGCGCCGAGCCGAGAGGTTTATAATCTCGTCGCGCGCGAAGCGCGCGTGTATCACCCAAGCATCGCAAGGCCAGCGTGATTTCCTCTTGGCTATAAATCTATCGAGTTTGGTTGGTGTCCGCCTTGACGTCATCCAGAGTAGTGACGTCAAAGCGCATTATAGGTTTCGAGGCAACCGATTGCCATCGACGACAAAGCTCTGGGTTTTGTTTTTTCATCTGTGAATTATAACAATGTTTACGGTCGGTGAATCACCACCCAATATCACAGGTAAATAAAACAGAACAGCAAACTTAACAACTTCAATAAACAACGGTGGATTCAACAAGTGGCTGGAAATCCTCGCTGGGAAAGATTTACAAACAAAACCCCGCAAGAGAGAGGACGTCGACTTTAAATTCAGCGCGAGTAAAGTAACGGCACAGCGAAGGCAAACACTGTCAACTAGAGACAGAGGTTATACAGCGACCACGAATATGTAAAGAGTTAGCAACAAAATACTACAGTTACACTGCAAAAGATGCCGACGAAGACAGGGAACACCGACTGCCGACGTTTCAGTATTCGGTCAATAGAATTCGCAAGGAGATGCAAGTTTAGAGTCAAAATTATCTTCTTCGATGCAACGATAGGAAGCAAGAATTACACCATCCGTAAAATCGACACGAGGAGTATCTTTGCAACGGACTGAGGACAGCTGATCAGCCTTTTCACCGTTTTACAGTAAGCTTTATTTTACAATGAACAGTTTACAACACCGATAATGTGTGACATGTAGGAAAGCGTTACATTTTGTAAACAAAATCCTTACTGGGCAAAATTTTTCGTTTAAGCTTACAATTTTCATTCAATTTCCTTCACAAGTAAAATAAATGTATGTATAGCAGCCTTATACATAAACCCAGCTGTGTCTTTTAAGTCAAACATGGCAAAAATTATTGCTGGCCCCCTATATTTTTGTTCCTATATTATTCGAAAATAACATCAGTATTTCGGATATCCTCAGAATATTAGTGTGCGACGTGGTTGCCATGCCAGGAACGTTAATTCCTTTCGCTGTTAGGGAAAATTTAACAGGTCACTCATAAAACTTCACTCTTTCAAAGAAGTCAGACAGAGGTGACATATTCACAGAAATAAAACATTAATTTTGTTCCATTGGCAGATGAAGATTGTTTCAAGAAATTAAACGACATGCAAGCAGATATTTATGTAGGGTTTCACATAAGATCAATCCATCCTAAACTTAGCTTTACATTCAAGATTGTAAATGCTAGGTGTCCCGTGCACTAGGCCCAGTCTGCGCCGAGGTGTTGTCATTCGACACTAGGTCAAACCTCGGCATACATGTGCTTTATCGCTTGTTATTTTCGCCTTTATTTCTCGGATAAGGATCGTTTAACTAGACTCACATCGAAGGAATAGAACATTACGGAAGCATTACGGATATTTCAGCAGTTTTCAAGGTTACGGATAGAGACACTTGCTTGTTTGTAAGGATTTCTTGTACGGTATTTTATTCGAACGGTGTGCTGAGCGTAGTTGATCGGATCGAATAAAACGTGGAATCGACATCGAATTGACGGCTGCTACAGTTTGACCTACAAACAAATCACATGGAAGGAGACAAGGAAGAAGATTTACAAGGGAAAACGGAGTTCCCTGATGAAGAGAAGCTTTGCACTTGGCGCGAAGTCGATATGGATCTCGATACAATCTGCTCGTCACCTCGTGCGATATCACCGCTGACCGGTTTATTGGCTCAAGAAACTCACATGGACGTGCGAAAACGGATTCCTACAGAAAGGGGTAGGCAATTTGAGATTCAAAAGTTGAAGGAAAATCGGAAAACTGCACTTGCTAATTTAACTAAGCAGATGAACTTAGTCTCACCTTTGTTAACGGATTTTGAGAACGAAAAACAAGTGCGTACGGAAGTTGTTCATTTAGATCAGCTATTTGTTAAAGTGCAAGAAGGACATGACGCATATCTCAAGGCCTTAGATGATGATGATGAAATTAAATTAGCTCTTGAATGGTTTGGCACTCGTGATAAGGATGTGCTCCAGCTAAAGCAAAGGATTATTGGCTTTTTGGATGATGCAGATAAGCTACGTGGCGGTTTACGTGATACACACTCAGTGAAATCTAAGTCATCTCGTCGCTCAAGGCACTCCCTTTCCTCGGTAACATCTGCTAGGTTAAAGTTAATTGAAGCGAAAGCTAAAGCTGCAGCGTTAGAGGTTAAGGCATCATTTCTAAAAGAGAAACAAGCATTAAAAATGGCTACTGAAGAGCTTGAACTTAGGCAGCAAATCGCAGAGGCAAAGGCAGAAGAAAAAACTTATAAGAAATTCGAGGAGGAACAAAATATTGACGGAATGAATGAAAACTTGGAAGATGTTGAGGTTAAACTCACTTCTACTACCATCTCACCTGGGGTACAATCTAACGATCAGGCTACACTAAGGGTGCCTTCTGTGAAGTTCCAAAGTTCAGCTATTGTTGGTTCAACGACCACTCTTGTAACCACCCCAGCTTTAGTCAGTGCTGCTAGTATGAACCCAACTGCCCGACCCTTTGTTCCAAAGAGTGTTCCATTAAGGAAGAAGAGTATAAGGACAAGTACGAAACCCCCACTGATTATAAGCTACCACATGTTAAAAGGGAATGAACGTGCAGTTTCGGAAAGGATTCAAGCTCTGTGGAAGGTACAGGGTTAGATCAAAACTATCTTGACATTCAAAGGAAGCAGGCTGAACTTTCAGAAATGATTGTTACCCAACAGGCGAGGAGTCTCCTACCTAGTCACAAGCCACCTACGTTTTCGGGAGATGTTATGTCATACCCAGCATTCATAACAGCCTTTGAAACTCTCATAGAATCTAAGGTAGATGATTCTAATGAGCGCTTGTACTTCTTGGATCAATACACTAGTGGAAAGGCCAAGGAACTGATAAAGGGTTGTTTACAAATGAAAGGCGAAGATTCGTACAAGGAGGCTAGACGGCTTTTGAAGAAACATTTTGGTGACCCATACAAGATTGCAAGTGCATACATTGCCAAGCTGTCGAGCTGGCCCGCTGTTAAGCCTAACGACGGAAAAGGGTTACAAGAATTTTCTATTGTCCTTGAGCAAGGAAGGAACGCCATGACAGGCATGCAATACATGAACGACTTGAACACGGCCAATGTTATGCGCCAGTTGTGGGAAAGGCTGCCGCGATATCTACGTAGTAAGTGGACTGAAAGATTTAGCAGGATTAGGAGTGTCAAGGGACAGACAGCTAGCTTTAATGACGTTTGCCAATTTGTATCAGAGCAAGCCGATTTAGCGACAGACCCAATCTGTTCCGAGGAAGGCATAAGTAAACCGATGAACGCAGTTGACAAGTACCATAAACAGAACGAACGCAAACCCAAGAGAGGAAGGGGTACCAACTTTGCAACAGGCTTGGCAGGAAAGAATGCAGGTGGAAGAAATTCTCACCCCATCAGCTGTACATTGTGTTCTAAGGCGCATCATCTGGACGAATGTGCTGAGTTTCTTAAAAAACCGCTAGTGGAGCGGAGAAACTATCAAACAGAAAGGCTTATGCTTTGATTGCTATAGTTGTGAGCACATTGCCAAGCTTTGCAAAAGTAAAAGAACCTGTCAGATCTGCAGTAAGAAACACCCAACGTCACTCCATGATTACAGTTGGAAATCAGAAGAGGTGAAAATGGAGAGTGGAAACGGCCAACATGAGAAACCGGAAGCCAGTAAAAAGAAAACGGAAGAGCGAGTCGTTAACGTGTGTACTGCGATTTGCAATGTGACAGATGCCGGTGATGTACCAGTTGCTATGGGTGTTATCCCAGTATGGTTGTACCACAAGGACAATCCAAACAATAAGATATGTGTTTACGCCCTCCTTGATAATGCCAGTGGTGGAACATTCATTAAGGAAGACTCGTTAAGAAGGCTTGGTGTTAAAGGAAGTGAAACCAAACTTTTGCTCACTACTATGCATGGAACCCAAGAAGTCGATGCTAAAGCGGAAGATGGGCTAATGGCTTCCCACTTTCAAGAAAACGACATTATCGTACCCCTACCGAGAACCTACGTCAGACAACGGATTCCAGCAGATCGTGATGAGATTCCTCGTCCCGAAGAGCTGCAAGGATGGTCACATTTGCAGATGGTTAGGAAACACGTACCTCCTTACATGGAAGACGTAGAAATAGGACTCCTGATCGGACTAAATTGCCCTAGTGCAGTGCGACCAAGAGACATTGTTTGCGGGAATGAGAATGAACCCTATGCAGTAAGATCACTACTGGGATGGCACGTAAACGGTCCTGTTAACCAAAAGAGCAGTAAACAAGTACATTGTAACCGTATTCAGATTCTTAAGAGCAACACAGAGGATAACGTGAATGGGTACATCATTGCTAAGACAGAGATTAAGGAGCGGCTAACCCCTCAAGTGGTTTCTCGAATGTTTGAGGTGGACTTTGCTGAAAGGGAGCACGGAGTCGCATTATCAAGAGAAGACCGTCAGTTCCTGAAGATTGTAGAAGATGGAATCCATCATAGAGATGACATGCATTACGAGATGCCTCTGCCCTTTAGAGAAAAGAATG